AGTAGCTGATGTTGTTGCTACGTCTGTTGACTCTGGGTTGCCAGTACTCAGTAGCTGATGTTGTTGCTACGTCTGTTGACTCTGGGTTGCCAGTACTGAGTAGCTGATGTTGTTGCTACGTCTGTTGACTCTGGGTTGCCAGTACTCAGTAGCTGATGTTGTTGCTACGTCTGTTGACTCTGGGTTGCCAGTACTCAGTAGCTGATGTTGTTGGTACGTCTGTTGACTCTGGGTTGCCAGTACTCAGTAGCTGATGTTGTTGCTACGTCTGTTGACTCTGGGTTGCCAGTACTCAGTAGCTGATGTTGTTGCTACGTCTGTTGACTCTGGGTTGCCAGTACTCAGTAGCTGATGTTGTTGCTACGTCTGTTGACTCTGGGTTGCCAGTACTCAGTAGCTGATGTTGTTGCTACGTCTGTTGACTCTGGGTAGCCAGTACTCAGTAGCTGATGTTGTTGCTACGTCTGTTGACTCTGGGTTGCCAGTACTCAGTAGCTGATGTTGTTGGTACGTCTGTTGACTCTGGGTTGCCAGTACTCAGTTGCCAAGGCTGGTTGGTAAACTAACTCCAATTTCACGTCAAGGTACCAGTGCATCTAGTGTCTGCTTTTATCAGCACTTTTTCAGCTAAAAAAGCTCAAAAAGGACGATACTCACTGAAAAACGCAATAAAGGGCGAAAGAAACGGGCTTTTCCAAAAAGGGCCAAAAAGGGCGGAAAACAGGGCGAGCACCTTTGGGAAAGGGCAGCTTATACATGTAGACCTCTACATTGTCTGAGCGAATGAACCAGATTTTGTGACGTCATTGCTGGAAGGTTGAGGTGAGGACATGAGTGGCGGTCAGTTCGACCAGCTTTATAAGATAGTGTCACGCCTTCTAGCGCTTTCGCGCGCATATTCATGCGGTCCAGTGTGTATCGTAATCTGGTGCGATTGGGATCGCCCCCCCCCAGCAATACAGTCATGTACATGTACATATACATGTAGATCTTCTGAATCCGTGAACGACTATGAGTAGGACTACAAGACACACTGTACTGCCTGAACTCGGAATGAACGAATTGGCGAATCTATCAAGCTACGACGAAGACAGATCAGTAGAGTAGCTTCCGTGTTTTACACTTGCCTTGGTCCGTGATCTCCAATCTTGTCTACCCACCTCTGGCCTCCTTGACGTTGGCACTGTCAGAGCCTGTCTGAAGAGTTGACGTGGGCACTGCTAGTTGAGCTGTCCCTCGTGATTTTGACAGGGAATACAAAGTCTTTGCGACAAGCAAACTCTTGTAACGTACATTCCATCCAGGAGGTACGTGCAGTGTACAAAAGTAGGAAGTGGACAAAGCAACACCACGGTCAAGTGTCGAAAGCAGTCTGATTTATGGCCACAAATCTCCTCTGGCCCGTGTGAGAGTTTAGTAGAAGAGCATTCTGCACGTTCGATGCAGTGATAGAGCCGTGGCCCAAGGCCCGGCGGAGGTCCCATCCGTGATAGTTCAGCCTTTCTATTTTACTAGAGCAGTTTACCGGTATATTAGTAGAAGGTATGATGCGACTTGCAATCACTATCCAGTGTTAAAGCAACCAAATCGAATAGCGTCTGTCGCCCGTCTTCATCTTCTGCCGTTACTCTGTATCCATCGCATCGGTCACTTATCACGCCACTGAAGCGATGATGGAGGGTCTACCAATGACACGCACAGCAGTCCTGGATGAACTGGTGGAGTACCACGAACAACTGACGGTTACTTATCAGAATGTCCGACCAGAGGATATCAAACAGACGTCGGACACCATGGGGCTAGTCACCTTCAATGGCTATTACACCATGTTTGTTTGTTTGTTTGTTTGTTTGTATTTATTTTGATTCGCAAGTTCAAACGGGCATAGACCCAATAACATGAAAGCGAATATGAAAATCATAATGAGAATGAGAATTCAAATACTTTGATCTTCAACGTAGAGTCAGCGGTACATCAGAGGGAGATCGGGTACAACAGAAAGAGAACAGAAAAAATCAGATTTCGCTTGTCGACATCTACAGGGCGCAGGTATAGGGGAAAACTGTGTGCGTGCGAAACTGCCGAGCGTGATGGATGGCACGGATGTCGCTGGGGAGGGCATTCCATAATACAGCACCCTTGCAAGCAAAGCGCCCCCGCCCCGCAACCGAACGGGAAACTGGCACGCACAGGCATGAGCGGGGCGAAGGGTGCCTTCTTCACCATCGATACCAATATACACGTCAAGAGCGGCTCGTCGACGGCAATCTACGATGTGGCATTGCTAGTTTGTTTGGATGGTAAGAACTCGATCAGGGTGCCGTTCAACGGAACCTTTGACGGAATACACCTGAGCCAGACCACTAGTACTCCAAAGCTCCGCGTCCAGATTGAGCTCACCTTCGTACGCGGTGGATTGGACGGCACGACCGCGTCGTTCTCCGGTACAATAGCAATGGACGGAAAGCGGCCAGTGACTGTCAACGGCTCGACGTACAACAACCCGATCGGCTATGGCTTGTATATCGGTGAGTACTACGACACGCCAAAGGCAAAGGATAGTAAGCCTGTGCCAGTCATGCGGATCGAGCCGAAGTACCAATTGAAGTATGATTACGGAACAAACGACGGTGTGCTGAAGGCCGTTCCTGGATTCACGTACAACATGAACATGTACTTCTTCTCGTTTCCGCAAGGGTCCAGTGATAGTGTTCGCTTGATTATGGGAACAGCTGCAGCGAAAGGATTTGCGTGTAACAATATGACTGTTAACAAGAAGACGGAGAAGCTGGTCGCACGTTCTTTGCTGACAATTCCATCACCCCACATCCATCCAGCACCTGAAAAACCCAGTGTGCAGACGATTTTGGACAGTGCCATACTAGCAAAGTTCAGTGGCTATTACCCAATGGCATCTATCGCCCAGGGTGCTTTCATCTCCATTCAAGCAGAATACGCCTGCGTTGATGGAATGGTGGACCTCTATTCAGTCGGCATCTCCTATTCACTGGATGGCGCGACTGCCTCTGGCTACACGTTTGACGCGGAGACGATGAGTTTTGAAAACAACACGCTAACCATGCCTCAGCAAGGTATCACCCTGACCTTCGGCCGTGTCTATACCTCGACCAACCGTGGGCTTGCCAGCGTTGCAGGGTCCTTGCCGGGTTTTCCGAGAATCATTGGCAGTACACCGTTCAACCCCGTGCCTCTGTCTGCATTCGGTGGTGCGCCAATGACGACCAGCGACGGTAAATCACCCTTGACCATTGTCAGTGATAACGAAGTTGTGTACCATGGTGAAAAAGTGACAACGTTCATCTACGTTCCTCTCATGAATATCCTGTACGCTAAAGGCAAGCTTATGCTGTCATTGGGTACGGACGGATTGAGTGGAAATACGTGCATTCTCACCGACTACACTGAAGACGGAAAGGTCTCGTTGCTGACGGCAGTTCACCCATCTTGATCCAATAAGTGACCGGCCGTACTTAGTATAATGGTAACCAAGCCGGCTGCATAATTCGGATTTACTCAATCTGCGGACAGAACTGTTTCGTCATTTGTGGCAATGCGTATTTGTAACATTAGTCTTTTTGAATGCTTAGTATGTTGCATAGAGATACTAGTAGAGATGTGCATGTGCGACACATACCATGCACATACCATGCACATACCATGCACATACCATGCACATACCATGCACATACCATGCACATACATCTACTACTGACTAGTCATGCACAATATACATTGTATGTATTAGACGTACATGCGATCACAGTTTCCGAGTGCTCGATGGGCCTCAGCACGCCGTTTTTTGGGGGCATAAAGTTGGTGAAGCTTGTACCTGGTGTAGACAATGCTGTAAAAGTGGTTTTTTGAACTTTACTTCCTGTTTTGCCTTTCGTGGACCCATAAATGGAAAAGTGCGTATTCATTTCTCAGCTTGGGTTCATATCTGAACATGTATCATGGCTATGCTTCACTGAAAAAGAGCACCTTTTGCCTGTTTTCACTGGAAAAAGAGCATTTTTTCAGCATATTTTGAGGGACGCGAAAAGCACTAAGTGCGAATTAAAAGAGCACCTTTGGGACAGGGCTAACCCCTTGCAGAATTGGGAGGTCCCTATCGCAGCCCCAAAGTAACGTGATCCTTCACATGTTATTGATATATCCGTGCCCTGGAAGAGAGACTTGGCCTCCTCCATGCACTGCTCTTTCACAACCAGCCCTGATTTGGATGGATTCAGGAAATATCCATACTTTGGGCCATCCCCAACAAGAACGTCCCACCTGGCACGCATCCTTGCGAGTTTTTCCGCCGCCGAGGCATCATCGTCGAACAAGAGCTGGATGGAATCCTCATTTGTCACCTTCCTGATCAAAGCAGCATGGCAATGGCATGAAATGGCATTGCCAGAGGATCTCCTTGCGTGGTGCCCTCTTCGGAAATTATGCACTCACCACCAACATACAGTCGGGCAGGGGCGCGATAGGGTTTAATCAGTACTGGAGGCCAACAGATCGATTCATTCTATTAACGGCATTGGATGCGTCCGCCAACACTATACCGTCTGCGCTTTCATCACTGAACACACTGGTAGCATGGTTCACCCCCCCCCCCCCCCCCCAGAACGTCGCTGGTAGGTTCCTGAGCCTTGTCTCTAGGCACTTCCCGAAAACATCCTAGCTCAGGAAGATTTTCAATCGTAACACCCTGAAAGTGAGCTACGGCTGCATGCCCAGCATGGGAGCGGTGATCAGCAGCCACAACATGAGCAACGTGCGAGAGCCAGAGCAAACCAAGTGAAAGAGTCCTGTCCGCTGCGCGGGGAGTGCCAGACCAAGGAGATAGTGTACGATGCCACTGTCGAATCTACCAGCAAGATTTACATCGGTCTCTCAGAGACACCCTTCAAAGACCGTCACGCCATCCACCTCACCTGTATGACACACACAAAAACAGCACTGAGCTCGCAAAACACATACTAGTAATCATGGGAGCTGAAGAGCGAAGGAAAGCCGTTGACCATCACATGGAAGGTGCGGGAGAAGAGCCGATCATACAGATGTGAGTCCAAAAAATGCTACCTATGTACCACAGAAAAATTCCACATCCTGACGACACCGAAGAAGCTCCTGCTCAACAAGAGGTCTGAGATGATCGAGAAATGCAGGCATGAGAATAAGTTCCGCCTCGCAAATTTCACACCTATCAAATGAACTGACCAAGTACTGTACTGCACTTTGCCTGACCTAGGCATTGGCGGATTATGCTCGAAAAGGTGGCAGATTCTTTTCGAAAAGCAGTGAAATTGGCAGAACCATACAAACCTGATGGCGGGCAATTCCTCGAATTCTGCTCCATTTCTTTATCCACATACCAAACATGCATGAAACTTTCCAGAAAAAGTACCGAATTCTGCCAATTTTTCTGCCGGCATTATCCTCATATGCCTAACCTGAGCACCCCAATATCAATTAATAACACAATCCACTGTTGTTGGCTATAGCACTCTGCTTACGCCTGCCCATCACCCAAAGACCCCCTAGCGATCTCACTGGCCCATTGCCCTCCATCCTCCTGGCACCTCCACCCATCTGCGGTACACTGCCTCCCCATTGCCTCTTTCGGCGCTTTTGTAGCGTCTCTGACGTTCTCGCATCATGATATCATCATTTGTTTGCATGTACACGTCATATTTTCCTCATCATCACAAACACTGATTCACCATACTCTCGCACACATTGTAATACCTACTACACGTACTTCGCTACCATAATCATTACGTAATGTTTGGCTAGCATAGTTCCAATACACATTACGACATCTTTTGATGTTACGCACTCCTCGCCTACAACGCTATTGTAGAAAAGTAGTCTTTACTCATCTCTTGTAAGTTCTGTTTGCATCCAAACACTTCTTCCAAACAGCACACGTCAGATATCTAACAAAACAACAAACTTCATTGCACAGTCTTCTATCACAATCTCTTTCCTATATAAACCTCCTTTCTCTTCACTTTCTTCATGACATTTAGTGTTCGCCAGTTTGTTGCCACCTGGGTCGCCCGATTTGGTGTTCCCACTGTGCTCACAACCGACCGAGGTGCCCAATTTGAGTCATCCCTGTGGTCATCGCTCATGTCACTACTTGGCACGTCTCGCATTCGTACAACGGCTTACCACCCTGCTGCCAACGGCATGGTAGAGCGCTTTCACAGACAACTGAAAGCTGCACTCCGAGCTTCCGACAATCCACAGCGCTGGACGGAACATCTGCCACTAGTCCTGCTCGGCATTCGCTCCTCCCTGAAGGCTGACCTCAACTGCTCAGTTGCAGAAATGGTCTACGGTTGCCACCTCCGCCTGCCAAGTGATTTCCTCACTGACGAGCCTGAGCCATTTCCGGATCCGACGTCCTATGTCAGCCGCCTCAAACAAGCCATGTCCGAGCTCCGCCCTACACAACCCCGCAAGCCACCCACCCAGCATCCGTTCATTCCAGCTGACCTCTCGACATGCTCTCATGTCTTCATTCGCACAGATGCAACACGAACGCCCCTCCAACGTCCTTACACTGGTCCACACCGAGTCCTGGAACGTCATGATAAGTACTTCCGCCTCGACCTCAACGGCCGCTCCGACACAGTATCCATCGACCGACTCAAACCCGCATTCCATGACAACCAGTCTGTCGACCATTGCCATCCGACCAAGCCGACGCCATCGCTCGCATTCGACGTGCCTCCGCCACGCCAAACACGAGCTGGTCGTCAAGTCAGATTTCCCGCCTATTTCTGACACTCTCTCGCTTATCCCATTTGCTTGCTCTCACTTTATCGCGCTAGTTATCGCTCATTACTCATTCACTAGGAGGGGAGCTCTGTAGCGTCTCTGACGTTCTCGCATCATGATATCATCATTTGTTTGCATGTACACGTCATATTTTCCTCATCATCACAAACACTGATTCACCATACTCTGGCACACATTGTAATACCTACTACACGTACTTCGCTACCATAATCATTACGTAATGTTTGGCTAGCATAGTTCCAATACACATTACGACATCTTTTGATGTTACGCACTCCTCGCCTACAACGCTATTGTAGAAAAGTAGTCTTTACTCATCTCTTGTAAGTTCTGTTTGCATCCAAACACTTCTTCCAAACAGCACACGTCAGATATCTAACAAAACAACAAACTTCATTGCACAGTCTTCTATCACAATCTCTTTCCTATATAAACCTCCTTTCTCTTCACTTTCTTCATGACATTTAGTGTTCGCCAGTCTTGTAAAGATCTTGGAAACTAACACTCGTTGCACTGTATCTAGACTACTAAACTTTCATGCTCACACCTGCCTGTTGCCCGCCACCCTCCTGGCACTTCCACTCACCTGTAGCCTCTCCTAGCCCCATGGCCCGCGCCAGCTTTCTCCCCATACCTTACGCCACCAGATTTAGCACTAAATTTGCTTTAATGCCTGTGGCCCTACGTGTGTATAAGCATACTGCTGGGTAGATGCCCCGCATCAGTTGTCTGATGATTGCCTTGCTGCATGAAACTCAAAGTTACAACCAACCTGAACGGCCCCCGCTGAGTCTGTTATGTACTGAGCTCTGTCTCTGACATTGAGCACTCTTATCTCTGCAGCTCGGGATCAACGGATTTGTATAATGTACAATCAGGTACATGTAGACAATCTGCGGACAGAACTGTTCCGCCTTTGTGGACTCATCAGCGCTACCTTGTATACAATGTAAGTACTCGTACATGTTCGTTCATGCTCCTTATCTGTTAAAGACTCTTGTACGGGCAAAATGAATTGCATGTACATGTACATCAAACAAATTCAAATTCAGTAAGCGACTTTGAATATGATTATGCTCTGTATCTGTTCTTTTTACTCTGTTGGGTTTTTCTTCTTCGATGTTTCTGCGGACCCTTGTGCCATTCGCCAATTGCTAGAATAAAACCTCTTACAGTCTGTACATGTTAGGTCCACGTACAGTGCTGCCAACTGAAACCCGACCCCTGAGCGGTGCGCTCACATCGCAAAGACCTAACACGCGATAGTAAAACTACGAAATAGAGACCGCTAGAATGTGAACGCCTCGTTGGGTGGTCGGATTTCAGTTTCCAGCACTGTAGATCTACTTACATTGTACTGTAATAATGGTCTCCCACAGTTCAGCCATACGGACCGGTGCTAGGCACCTAATGAAGCGTGGTTGTACAGTGTACATCATGTAACATGCATCCCTTCTATACTGTGATGTACATGTAGTTGCAGATTTCCTGCACTTTACCATTGCCAGCCACTGGTCATGTTACTCTGGAATTACCAATGGGGTTTTGTGCGAACGTGATGGAGCAGCACAACAGTTTTCTGATGATCGCTCAGTGCGTGAAACTTTGAGTAAAAACACTTTTTCATCCACTTGTTATTGGACTCCGATGGAGAGCTGAGGATAAATTTTACAGTATTAGAGAAGAAAAAAGGACCGAGAACCTACAAGTTACGCTATACTGTTCGTTGTAGAACGACAGTGCCGTCGGTCAGTGTCGTGCAATGTTATCGCGTGAGCTGATTGTTTAGTAACTTGTGGTGTTAGTGGACATGATAGCGTAACTTGTAGTTTCTTGGTCCTTTTTCCTTTTATTATTGTTTGAACTAGCTCTGTCTTTCGGTATTGAGCACTCTATTGGACAGCCTGGAACCTCTCTGTTTTAGTGAGAGAAGCATATGGAAGAATAGCCACACAATAGGACAATACATGCACAATGTAAGACGGGGCAGCAGCTTCAGTAGGTGCAACACAGTGACGCAATACGAAGGGAAGTATAGCTACAAGACTTCCAGCAAAATTGAATGAAAAGTGCAAGCAAATTCAGGATTCAGTGCTCGTCTGCGTAGCAGCCGAAGTAAAAAAAGGGGGGGGTGAAGGAAGGAATAGTGAAATTACCCCTCAAAGTTATGAATAATAGAAACAGTAACTTGCTGGTACATGGTTTCACTATTCCGCAAATCTGTACGTGATCACATAAGGGTACATAATGTACACGGGTGAGTGAAAACGAGTAAGAAGGGAAACTAACATTCGATACACATCGTCACATTTACGACTAGCTACATGTACATGTACATTGTATGTGTATGGCATGCGGAACAAAATACACACCTCTCTCTACGCGAGATACAGAGCATTCAACCAGGCTTAAGTATGCATGCGCTATAACCAGCCGGCCTGTTCGATGTGATCATATCGAGTGTCACTCACTCAGGCCAGAGGGCGGGTGAACTGCCGTCAGCACCGAGACCTTTCCACCGTCAGTGAAGTTTGTAAGAATGAGTGTATTTCCCCTCCGTCCGTCCGTACCCAATGACAGCATAAACTTGCCTTCAGCGTACAGGATGTACATGAGAGGGACGTAGACGAAGTCTATCACCGTTGCATCATTGAACTTGACTTCCTTATCACTAATAATAGTCAAGGATGATTTACCGTCGCTGGTCGTCATGGGTACACCACCGAATGCAGACAGCGGTACCGGGTTGAACGGCGTACTGCCAGTGATGCTGGGGTGATCTGGCAAGGATCCTGCAACGCTGGCAAGACCCCAGTCGCTCGAGGTATAGACACGTCCGAAGGTCAGGGTGATACCTTGCTCACGCATGGTCAGCGTGTTGTTTTCAAAACTCATTGTCTCCGCGTCAAACGTGTAGCCAGAGGCAGACCTGCCATCCAGTGAGTAGGAGATGTCGACTGAATAGACGTCCACAATTCCATCAACGCAGGTGCATTTTGCTTGGATAGAGATGAAAGCACCCTGGGCGATGGATGCGATTGGGTAATAGCCACTAAACATCGCTAGCTTGGCACTCTGCACAATCGTCTTCTTACTGGGCTGACTGCGAAGCGGCGCGCAGATAGTCGGGTATGGAATTGTCAACAACGACCGGATATTCGCCAGCTCGTTCGTCTTCAACGTTTTCGTCATATTGTTGCAAGCAAATCCTTTTGCTGCACCTGTCCCCATTATCAAGCTCGCAATATCATCGGACCCTTGCGGAAACGTGAAGAAGAACATGTTCATATTGTACGTGAATCCAGGAACGGCCTTCAGTTCACCGTCATTTGTTCCGTAATCATACTTCAATTGGTACTTCGGCTCGATTCGCATGACTTTCACAGATTTTCTATCCGTTGTTGTCCTGTAGTACTCTCCGATATACAGGTCTGGCTCTATCGGGTTGTTGTAAGTCAAGCCGGTCACAGTAACGGCAACGGTCACTGGAGGTTGATCGCAGAAAGTGATGGAGCCAGAGAACGAAGCGGTCGTACCGTCCAATCCACCGCCGCGTACGAAGGTGAGATCAATTGTCATGGTAGCATCGCTCTGCTTCAACTTCACGCCGTCGAACGTGCCGGTGAACGGCACCCGGGTGGATTTCTTGCCATCCATACACACTATCAATGCCACATCGTAGATTGGAGTAGTCGACTCCTTCTTGACGTGAATGTTGGTATCAACGGTGAAGAAAGCACCCTTCGCCACGTCCATTGAGTAATAGCCATTGAAAGCAACTAGCTTCATGGTGTCCGACGGCTGTTTGATATCCTCTGGGCGCACATGCTTATACGTTACCGTCAGCTTTTGGTGGTACTCCACCAGTTCATCCAGGGTTTGTGTGCGTGTCACCTCCATCACTGCTTCTGCAAGGTTGACATGAAGATAGTAGTGTTGTTGGTCGTATTTTGAAAAAGAAACGAGGACGAAACAGTCGTCAAAAAGAAAGGGTTTTCTCACAACCTACTTCACGAAGCTAATATTGTACAGAATGGGACCGAGCCTGAAGAACTTCATGTACTTATAATGAAGATTCTATGTAGCGATCCCCGCGGTACTCGCTATGTGACGTGAATATGATCTGTTATGTCAACAGCCGATGTCATTTTGACGCCACTACGTTCCTGTTGACAGGATCGTATTGCTCAACAATCCACGCTTAGCCATGCAGACATTGCTTAACTCGTGACTACAACTCAGCTCCGTCATGCTCCACCTCTACTACTGGGTATGAACTGGTGGATCACATGTTATGCCAACTGAAGCGACAGCAATAAGGGCACTGGAGGAAAACACGGAAGCTACTATGACGAAGTTCCAAGGAACTCCTCTCTTCTGACATCAGAAGAATCCTACAAGATGTTTGAAGTGAGATTCGGCTGAAGGCTGTCACGAATCGCGTCTCCGTGGAGCCTCCCATTTCTATTATCTTCCGGCCACTCAAAGTGGATAGTACGTAGTCCTCATAGCCTAAGTTCCAGTTCCTCCGTATTATCCTTAGGTCTTCCCAGTTGGCATGAAGCTCTAGCTAGCTCAAGCGTTTTGAGCCGCCAGTCCCGCCACCTTCCAATTACCGCCGAAGTCGCAACTTCTCAGTTTATATTGTTGTCCCCTGGCGCGGGCATGCGACTACTGTAAAGCGTGAAATTTTCGCGGCGTTTTTAGTTTGCGTTTTTAGAATCCGGACAGGTTTGCGAGGTTTTAATTTTGCGATTGCAGAATGGCATTCTTGCTAAACCTGTGGCATTCTTGCTAAACCTTTCATGGATCTCCTTTTCGCGCTGTCTAGATTTCGCGATTTCCACGCGGTCGCGAATTTCGCAGAAATTAGACCATGTAGAAGAGAAAAGGACATATCGATACGAGTTAAGAGTAACTCTCCATCACTGTAACATGATACTATATACAGTCAGAAAGTGCAATAACTAGGCACAAAACTGACAGAGTACTGAAACATTCGACGTCCTGACACCTAGCTTCAACACATCTCCGTAGCGCTAACCGACAGCCTTCCAACTTGGAAGGTTCAAGGCTATGGAAAGACCAAAGAGGGGAAGGCAATTTATGACCCACCCAAGTTGGGTGGTGTGCTGCTTTGCTGCTTCGAATTGTAGTTAGACCGCTTTGTCAAATATCGTACTGGTCTCGTCATCGTCCAGTAACAATCGGCATTCTTTGTTCCGTTGGGACTGTAGCTTTTGCTCATTTTCGTTGCGCTTGCCTTCCCCTCTTTGGTCTTTCCATAGCCTTGGACCTTCCAAGTTGGAAGGCTGTCGGTTAGCGCTACGGAGATGTGTTGAAGCTAGGTGTCAGGACGTCGAATGTTTCAGTACTCTGTCAGTTTTGTGCCTAGTTATTGCACTTTCTGACTGTATATAGTATCATGTTACAGTGATGGAGAGTTACTCTTAACTCGTATCGATATGTCCTTTTCTCTTCTACATTTATTTATGGCTCAACATCCGAGTTTCAAATTAGACCATCTCAATAATTTCACGGTTTACAGTAGTAATTTCACGGTTTACAGTAGATGTTCGCACACCTGCCAACCATACCGATGTGGCCGGGACAGTCCCGATATGGAGGGTGGTAATAGGCACCCAAAAGTACATTTGTTGCATGCCTCACACCTTCATTTGTATCCATGTTCATACCTACATTGTAGGTATGAACATTGTCCAGCTCTCAGGTTTGCACAGGCTGGCAGGTATGTGATCGGACGTGACTGCGTTGCTAGTGGTCAACAATCCTCATCCTCAAACTCCATGGGCGGCACTGACTCGCGCTGCTGCCCCGTATTCACAAGTTGTTGTTGTTGTTGTTATTGAATTTTATCTAAAGTCGCAACACAAACAGGCGATGGCGCCTTCTTTTATACATGCGAGCGACATGACAATTTTTTAATAATAATAATAATAATCTTCACTAGTTTGAGGGAAAGAGACAAACGGGAAAAGTCTGAAGAAAATTGACCGTCACCACCAGGACTCGAACCAGGGACCCTCGCAATAATAATTATTATTAATAGTAATGGGGAGGGGAGGAGAAAAAATCACAAGTGAAAGAAGTCACTGAAGGTAACTGAATAGGTTACAGATAGATCTGCGGGAAAAAGAACCCTGTTGAAAACCGAAAACGTAACTGACCGAAGGATTGACCAATGGTGACCAGATGAAAAAGTGACCTATTTTGAATACTTGGACGCTTTCGAGAGAGGACAGAAATGGGCGTGACAAGGTTCACAGCGCATCATGGGCGGTGTCTTGTTCCAGAGAATGGCACCAATGAACTGGATCGTACCTCGACCAGAAGAACCGGGCCAGAAGGGTACCTGTAATAGGTTTTGGTCAGCTCCATGGGTGCGATCACTCTGTGTTCTGGCGCAGTAATTCCTAATCAGGACACTTGAACGGCCATGAATGCAGCGGCGAACGAATATTAGGATTTTCGCTGCCAGGGCGTCCTCGAGGGTAGGAAGACAGAGTCTCTCGAAGAGCCCTGCAGTGGAAGTCCACGGCGGAAAGCCAAAGAAGGCACGGATTGCAGCTTTCGTCATTCAAGTCAGGGCGTCCATGTTTCTGGCCATCAGAGACGGATAGATTGCATTGGACGCGTATGTTAGTCTGGACATGATCATTGCATGATAAAATAGCTTTTTCGAGGAGACTGTGAAGCTTTGACGTGAGCGCCATAGCGCACCAATGGAGCGGCGAACTTGACGAATGGTGTGGTCGACGTGGCCATCCCAGGAGAGCTCATTATCAACAATAACTCCAAGGTAGCGAGCCTGTGACACAATTCTTAGCAGTTTCCCGTCGCAACGGATCTGGAGCGGTTCTGCACTCTGCTGCCCACCACGAGGTGTTATGCAAGACCTGAGTCTTCGTTTGGTTCAGCTTAAGGCCACGGTCCTTAAGCCAAGCTGCCAGACTGGTGACGGCGGTGCTTAGGGAGCTGCACACCACTGCTCGCCTCCCAGAGACCTCGAGAACGATATCGTCCGCAAACTCTTGATGAACGACGGGACGTGGAATGCAATTGTGGATGTCGCGAATATGCACGGTAAAGAGCAGTGGACCGAGAACGGAGCCCTGTGGCACGCCTCGACTGCACTGTGTGTAGCTTGACATACTTCCGCCAACAACTACACGCTGGTACCGGTCGCTGAGGAAACTAGCAAGCCAGGAATTCGCAGTGCCTGTCACACCCATGTAGGTAGGTAGGCAGGTACATTATTATTTGAATTCGCAGAACCAAACGGGCGGTGTCGCCCTATTACATGGAAGCGAATGGAAACAATAAAATATTGTAGGAAATAGCCTAACATGATAGCAGGGAAGTTGATTGTTCCAACTAGGAACACACGCTTCTTGCCGAACTTGACACTTCACTGACTCACGACTGCCATCCGGAGCACACGAGGAGCACGTCGCACCTTCCACTCGGCAAACCTGCAAGAAAGCACCACTCCCTGCTCAATACACGGTGTTTCGGGGAATTCACCCCTCATCAGTTGAGCTTGAGTAGGCTGAGGAAGATTGTGCCTGAAAAGCACCACTTATATACTGCTCTCCAGGCCAAACCATCACCAGGGATACAAACTTACAGAGACGCTTTGTTTCCAGCGCGACAAACACCTCGTGAAGCTCCAGGTAGCAGCGTGAGTCAGAGTCGCTCATGGAGTTGTGATAAACAGACGTTGAGAGCCAGTATAGCTATTCGCAACGCTGTCACCTCCAACAACTAGTCGCACGTCCGCGTGAGGGACAACAATACGAACTTAGAAGTTGGAACAATCAACTTCATGACTATTACCGCCGAAGTCGCAACTTCTAAGTTCGTATGATAGCAGGGTGTAGTACAAAGCAAAGAACGCTCGGTCAATGAGTAACGGTAACGTTAGAATACAACACCGGGGAGGCGGTAAACAGCGTTGGAGAGCTCTTCCAGCAGCAATGTGTGCTTGACAGAGTCGAACGCTTTGGACATGTCGACAAATGCTACCCCTGTTCCTTTCCGCTCATACATGGCTATTAACCAGCGGTTTACCGCTAGGACAAGGGCGTCCTCAGTGCAGTGTCGCCTCCTGTATGCAAACTGCGAAGTAGGGAGGAGATCGTTTTGCATTATGTATGACATGAGTTGGGCCTTCACTAGTTTCTCCAGTAGACGAGATATAATAGGCAGGAGAGAGATAGGCCGATAAGAAGCAGCTTGACCAGGATCAAGGCTACCCTTGAACAAAGGAAACACATTAGCAAGTTTGAACTGGCGTGGAAATGCCCATCGAGAGCGAAGCGTTGAATATCGTGCACAGAGACGGAGCTAATTCTGCTGCGGACTTCTTCAGAACAATACCTGGCAATTCATCATGGCCTGTGCTTTGGATGAATCAACGGACTCCAGTAGGGTCATAACTTCTTCTGTTAGGGCGGGTCGAAACTGGTTGAAGGTATCGGGATCGTTACAGTCATATTGAGCCATCCGAAAGCAGGCTGGATGGGCGCCCAAGGTCAGATACCACTTTCCCAAACGCTGCAGCGAGGTCCTCCGCAGCTACCAGAGGCACAGTGTTTCGGGGAATTCACCCCTCATCAGTTGAGCTTGAGTAGGCTGAGGAAGATTGTGCCTAAAAAGCGCCACTTATATAGTGCTGTCCAGGCACAAACATCACCAGGGATACAAACTTACAGAGACGCTCCATTTCCAGCGCGACAAACACCTCGGAGTGTGGGAGCAAACCCCCTCCTAAAAAAATCATCGCCAAAGTCGCAACCACTATCTCGTAAGAAACTACAAGTTACACTATAATGTCCACTAACACCACCAGTTACTAAACAATCAGCTCATGCGCTAACATTGCACGAGACTTTCAGCTCCTGCTTCTCTTGGTTGCGCTCACCTTCCCCTCCTGATGTTATTTCTATAACATAGAACCTTCCAAGTTGGAAGGCTGTTGGAGTGCGCATCCTAGATATGCTAGAGCTGTTAGCCAGTTAGTTGTAGAACGTGAGTACCGTCGGTCAGTGTAGTGCAATGCTATAGCACGAGCTGATTGTTTAGTTACTGGTGGTATTAACTGTCAGTGGACAGTAAAGCGTACCTTTGTAGTTTCTTTGTCCCTTTTTTCTTTACCGTAAATTTACTCTTGGCTCTCCATCTAAGTCCAGTAATGGTGAGGGGAGGAGAAAAAATCACAAGCGAAAGAAGTCACTGAAGGTAACTGAATACGTTACGGATAGATCTACGGAAAAAGAACCCTGTTGAAAAACCGGAGTGTAACTGACCGATTTGATGTCCAGAAGTTCATTTCCCAACAGTTGTTGTTCTGTGTGCGAAGGAGAAAGGTGACGTCGACGACAGGCTGGCGGACAGATCAGTTATAGGCCCATGTCCAGGCCATGGAATCGTCAGCATGGCTGTCGTAACCCCAAGCCTGGCGATATGGGCACCAGTACGATGTAACCTCCACAGAGTTTTGTATTTGTATTGTATTTTATTATTTTACCTTGGGCATTCCCAACAGACCCTAAGGCCTTCTTACAGGGTGCCCAAGATAAATGCATTTGTGAAGTTCCTGGCGAAATGAATTGGGGATATGATTTGTGCGAAGGGATTCGGGAAGCGCATTAAAGCGCGGTTAGCCTAGCACTGTGATGTACATGTAGCATTTTGGTTGGTTGGTTGGTTTTTATTATGATTTTCAGTTCGTTGCCTCGACAGTACAAAGTACAACTATCAAGAGGGACGAACGAAAAGCGAAAGTAAAACAGAGCAGAAAGGAAGATGCAACTGGAAGGAAAGAAAAACCGGAGAAGGAGTTTGGACTGGGCGAATTCATGAACCCTTACTAGAGCGGGGCAAGACATGAACAGAAGGGGCAAGTGCGTCGATATTCATGTTTAAAAAAATCCAAGCCTTATTTTATTGGTTCAATATATTTTCAAAACTGAGGAGGGGATATATGGTTGTAGCCAGTTAAACAAGCAAATTGACATTATTGTTTATTACAGTTCCACGAGTTGACCGCTTAGATTGTTTTAACCTTAATTTTTCTCTACACTATGTCTTCCTACTTTCATCGTTTTATTGCACATTGTCTCCACCGTTTTACATTGCATGAATAAAATATACACAAATGTCGATTCAGCTTGTCTTATTGATTGCGTATTATTGAAAGGTCTAATTTTAACGCTGATCACTTTATAACATATAATACCCTAGATTGGCACCAGCATGGAGCGATTCACCAGGGCGATCTCCGCGTTCGTCATTGGGTAGCGAGGATTGCGCTCAACATAGTAGATACTCAGTCCGATGTTCTCCAGCCATTCGATGATCTTTGCAGCACGCTCGCGAACAGCGGGGGTTTTCAGCCCGTGGATCTCCATCAACAACAGATCAACAGCTGGGAACGATGCAGTCTGTGCATTATTCATGTGGTACTCCAGTGCACCATACTCACTGCCTTCAATGTCCATCTTCAGTAGATTGATCTTGCGTGTCACGTGACCATGCTGGCGCATGATCTCCGTCAAAGTGTCTCCCGCCATTCCCAAAGTATCTGCCACGTCCTGTCCACCCCCCAAAGCTGTCTCGATACACTTCATGTTGCTTTGGCGACAACAAGATGCCTTCTTAAAGAACTCTGTCGAGGTGGGATCGAACATGAGAATTTCACAATGGGGAAAGTCTTCATGGATCTCCTGCTCTGCTGTGCACGTCCGCTGCACGCCAAAGCTATAAATGAGACAGCGGGGGGCAGACAGAAAATGGTTGGCGTTACACAATGTCTTGCCGCCATCGTTTAGCGTCCCGTAGCGCGTCTGCAAACACGACGTGGTTGGGGACAGGCCCTGGATGAATGTGGAGGCACGGATCATGTCTTGCCACTTGCCGTGGCTGTCGGGCATTGGAGGTTTCGTCGCGATCGTCAAACTGCTGGCAAGTTCCCAAATCTTGCGTCTGGCCTTGGGCAATAACTGCACAATGCCATAAGCCTTCGTACGGCTCTTTTCTCGCCCAATAGAAGCTCTAGCAATCCTAGTACCGGTGACTCCTTTCACATTTGCAGCGTCTGCTCGCACTCTTCTGGCGGCATCTGCTCCCAATGTGGCACTGGTCAGTCCAGATTCACTCCAAGATGCCTGGGTAGAGGCTGCTCGCCGTCGGAGAACGCCGAAAAAGCCTATTGCCATCAGTGTGGACACGACCAGCACCAGTATCTTGACGGGCGGATTTGTTACGGCCATGCTACCACCTCCAAGCGTTCAGCAGTGAACGACAGCCCGTCATATACTACACGTGCAGTCATTCACTTTCAATCTCTCGTTCAATCCTCTGCCTTTGGGATGTCTTCAACTACTGCTCTACTATACTCATACCTGCTCAAGGTGAAATCGTCAAAAGCGGTAATGGTGGAACAAGCATTGTCGTCCGCACACTGCTAGTGCCCAGCAATGCTCAAAAATCCAACTCAAAACTGAATTCTGACAAGGACTGCCACCTGTCATAACTGCACGCGATTTAAATATTCTGAGTTTTGTAGCAGCAGTACCTGTAGGCCTTGCTAACTGGAGTTGCTCGCTGAAAAAGCTGGTCACACGAGTCTCTCAGGAAACTAATACCGGTACTTGGAAAGATGCCTCAATAGCCTATTGAACTGCCCAATGGCCTACACCATTGACATCCCCAAACTCTAGGTGGATTTTGAAATGATCCCACTTATCATACTTACAACAATACTTAGTTTGCCGGTTCTGTTTCATGGCGTTGCGGCCTCACGATGTTAGCCTATGATTTGCTAGCCTGGCGCTTCAATTATTTCGACGCTTGCGGGCTGCACCAGGCCCAGACTACAACTTTACAAACTGCGTTTTCCTAGATCGAGGTGAGATTTTACCTCTGTTTAAACATGGGATTATCACTGCATGTGACAGCCGTTGATTGGCGCGGCGCCAAGTGTGTTTTGCCCTGAGACTAAAATGTACAGTCATGATGACTGTACATGTAACGTAACGTCCAAATACCATGATGTACAGTGTAGTTGTCACTTACACAATACACTTCGCTATTTCTACACACTATAAAGTGACCTCCAACTCAAGTGCATGCGTGTACATGTTACATCAAGCCTCTTGGACGGGCAAAATACGATATTGATCAATAATACATGTACATGTACTTATGAAGTATAAAATTAATGCAACAAAAACCCAAAACAATTTAAAATGTAAAGAACTCAAAGTTAAAGAAAAGAAAAGAACCCAACCAGACACACACGGAGCACACAAGAGGGAACAGCATACATGTAAATAGGTAAATAATAATACTCATAAAAAGGACACACTTCAGACTCATTACAAACAACTTGAAAGTTTTTGTCTTCACAAGTATACTTTCAAGCCTTCTCGTCAGGTGAAATAGTCTGAAGTGTGTCCTTTTTATGAGTTTTATCGCATTTTGTCTTGTTTCTGTCTTGAAAGTTTTTGTTTTCACAAGTATATTTTCAAGCCTTCTCGTCAGGTGAAATACCTGACGAGGAGGCTTGAAAGTATACTTGTGAAGACAAAATCTTTCAAGATTTTTTGTAATGAGTCTGAAGTGTGTCCTTTTTTATGGTTTTATCGCATTTTTGTCTTGTTTTTTTTTTTTTGTCTTGAAAGTTTTTGTCTTCACAAGTATACTTTCAAGCCTTCTCGTCAGGTATTTCACCTGACGAGAAGGCTTGAAAGTATAGTTGTGAAGACAACAACTTTCAAGATGTTTGTAATGAGTCTGAAGTGTGTCCTTTTTATGAGTAGTATCGCATTTTTGTCTCAGAGGAAACTGTTTACTTAATGATAATAATTATTTGAAACTCGGGTATTGAGCCAATAATAAAAGTAGAAAGGAAAAGGACGTCAGGACGTCGAATGTCTCAGTACTCTGTCAGTTTTGTGCCTAGTTGTTGCACTTTCTGACTGTATATAGTATCTAGTTACAGTGGTGGAGAGTTACTCTTAACTCGTTTCCATATGTCCTTTTCCTTTCTACTACTACTACTACTAATAATAATAATTTTTGAACGGATTGGGAGAACTTCAAATACAAAGGATCAGTTGGGGAAGTGAACTGCCTGAAAAGAGAAAAAAATCGCCAGACCCACCAGGACTCGAACCTGGGACCCTGCTTGTCATGAGCAATGCTCTAACCACTGAGCTATGGGACCAGGCTGAACCTAGAAGGCGCTGACAAGTTTTTCACTCCAAAGGCAGCTCACAAAACGTGCCACACATACTGATGGCACTTGGGTCTTTCTCCCTCCCCCAGGGGACCAACCACGGTCAGTTTCTGGACCCTACCAGAAGTGAAAGAAAGGTGATTAATTTTTGAACGGATTGGGAGAAATGGAGCAGAATTCGAGGAATTGCCCGCCATAAGGTTTGTATGGTTCTGCCAATTTCACTGCTTTTCGAGCAGAATCTGCCAGCTTTTCGAGCAGAATCCGCCGGTCCCTAGGTCACTCCGAACAGCTTTCTGCAGCTTCGGAGACACATAGTACAAAACCTAAGTAGCGAGAAAGATAACTTACATCGAACATAGGCCATGACGTGACAATACTGCTCGGACGTCTTTGCTGCCAGAAAAGCGGCCACCCTTGCGTACACCGCCGATATGCCGCCTTCCCCATCCCTCCACTTGCCGCCATCACCACTGGAACGAAAGATGCCTGCTCAACGTTTCTGACACGTTCCTCATAATGTTGTCTTCTCTCCTTCTCGTGGCGTTGGTACACAGTGACACGTGATGCAGATAGATTTGAGCGAGCATATGGGTTGAATAACCGAACATCAAGAAGGGTTCGCTCAAATCGACTGCCCCACAAACCACTGGCAGCCACATCCAGTCATGCATGGTTCTCTACATTAGCAGTACGATATCTCAACTGCTCACCAGTCAATGGCTGCAACACAGGTTCAATGGAGACATTCGAGCACACCTGATCCAACAACTGGGCAGTTGTGTCCCGGATAGCGTTATGTCTTATCGACGGGAAACCTCCATGGGGACATGAAACCGAATGCGTCACATTGACTTCATGGCCACAGGAGCAATGGGATAGAAGCCTTGCAGGTGTCCACTCATAACGGAGGCACAGCCCATCCCAAAACTCCTCCAAACTCCTGCTTGCTGAGACTAAAGCCATACTTCCTCAATGGGCAACACGTTAGCCAGCTCGACGATCCCTTCACACGCGCAACATCAATACTGTCGCGCAGGGCCTCAGAGGAATTGCTCATCACCGCCTCCATCCCAGCAATTTGTGCCCGACGTGTCGCCGCCCTCACGTCAGCCTTAGCCTTACTGATTAACGTCAAGGCACTTCCGAGGGTCCTCTCTCCAGCCCAAATCCTGTTGGTTGTGACCAGCTATGTGCCGGTCTGGATTGTGGGTTGGAGGCGGGCGTGTACGTGATGCAGACAACATTTTCCCGCCCTGATACTGAGGGCATTTTGTTGGCCGATTCATCTAATGCCTTCAACAGATTTAATCGTCAAGTTTGCTTGCTCAATGTTCGCCATTTGTGCCTACCCTTGGCCACAGTCCTGATCAATACGTACCGTGAACCGGCCCATTTATACATTGCCCGGGAATGTATTCTTTCACAGGAGGACACCACACAAGGTGATCCCTCCCGATGCAAATGTACAGGTACGCTCTGGGCATGCTGCCCCTTATTCGGCAAGTGGCTTGCGCTGACACTGTTCAATCGTGGTTTGCTGACGACTCTTCCGCGGCTGGCGTCTACGTCGTTTGCGACGGTGGTGGGACGTCCTAAGGCCGTTATCACACTGCGTTTGTTTGAGTCGCGTTTGCGTCTGCGTTTGCGTTTGAGATTGGAAAACGCAAGACGTGATATCATACTATACTTGTGATTTTCAGCGTTTGCGCCAAAATCTGTGCGCGCGGGAAAATACAAAAATGTGGGGAATCGATCTCGAGGTGGCCGTGGATGTTGAATTTATTTTTCCTGAGATCGAGAAGTGTTCTGTTTCTGCTCCTATGTTCTTTGTCAGTGGTGCTGGGGAATGGGAGTCGATGGGAAGACTGCAGCCGTTGCGTTGCCTGTGTTGGGGTGGCAGTTCCGTTGTTGAGGCACATCGTCAAACTAGGCTAGCCGCCGCCAACTACTGAACTAGTCAGCGCAACCTCAGCCACGAGCTCGCATCAGCTCCATGCCTCGCGAATCCAAAATCAATCAATCAGTACATGTAGTAGAAGTACCCTCGCCGGCCTCAGTAACTAGATGGAAATGAAGATTTGAAAAGCACACTTGAGAATCGATCAATCACTTGAAAACACTCAAAAACAATGCAGGAAGTGCTGCGATAAAGAAAGTCCGATCTGCGTTTACGCGATTCGGTTTTGACCATCCCCCCCCCCCCCTCCCCCCCCCCCCCAGGTTTGCGTCTGCGGCTGTGCGTCTGGAAACCAACGCGCTCGCGATAACGTCACGTGATGGCATTTCCTAGGCGACCGTCAAAAACCGAAGAAAAGCAGACGCAAACGCGACTTTTGAACGCAGTGTGATCTTTAGAAGGGCCTTACCGAGCGAGGTCGTGCTTTTGGCTATTTCGTCAATGCCAAGAAATCTGTGATGGTTATCAAAGAAGATTGCTTGCTTGAGGCAAGGAATCTTTTCCAGGGCACCGGCGATTTCCAGGGTAGAGCGATTGGCGGTGATTGTGCGGACACAGCCGCAGGCCGCATATTCTGCCTTTACCTTGGGATTACGGGGGAAATGAACCTTCCTTTGTCGAGCAATGAGTAGCCCTTTCCCAAAGGTGCTCTTTTAATTCGCACTTAGTGCTTTTCGCGTCCCTCAAAATATGCTGAAAAAGTGCTCTTTTTCCAGTGAAAACAGGCAATAGGTGCTCTTTTTTCAGCGAAGCTTAGCCATGATACATGTTCAGATACATGTACATGTATGAACCCAAGCTGAGAAATGGGTCCACGAAAGGCAAAACAGGAGGTAAAGTTAAAAAAAGCCCACTTTTTACAGCATTGTGTACACCGGGTACAAGCTTCACCAACTTGTTGCCCCCCCCCCCCCCAAAAAAAAGCGGCGTGCCAAGGCCCATCGAGCACTCGGAAACTGTGCTCGCATGCATGAGCAAACAGATATTTGCACTTTTTCAGCTAAAAAAGCTTTTAAAAAAAGGGCGATATTCACAAAAAACGCAATAAAGGGCGAAAGAAACGGGCTTTTCCAAAAAGGACCAAAAAGGGCGAAAAAAGGGCGAGCACCTTTGGGAAAGGGCTAGCAATGAGTGTGCCGGAGCATTTGCTGGAGCCGCTTGAGAATACCATACGCAACAATTTTATCCCAGAGCTAACCTGCCGTGCGTCTCCAGGCAACGTTTTACGTACATGTACATGTACATGTAGCGTATTTGAGCTTCCTTGCCGCATGGGTGGATTGGGCCTCATCAATCCAAGGACCTGGAGCGCACATTTTGCTTCTTCCACCCGCATCACATGTA